AAAAAAATGATACTTTTTTTGGCACATAATTGAGCACAATTTCATTTATTTTATCATCCTGTAATTTAATAATGAAGAGCAGGATATAAAAGAGGCAGAATTTGTCATCGGTTGTGCTCAACTAAATTTTTAGTTGAAGAAAGGGAAAAAGTGGAGAAATAAAAGGGGGACAAAAAAAAAGTGGATAAAAATAGAAAAAAAATAACAATTTTTTTAACCTTCTTTTCTTTTATTTCACTCGTTTTTTCTTATAGATAGGACAAATTACACTTCAGCAACATATTATTAGTTTTTTTTTCCTTACACACCAGCGCTTTAAATGGAGTACGTACGTTTTGTGGGGGAAAAAAGGGACCTTAGTAAACGGCACTATTTTGTGTTGTTGTTGTTTTGTTATTGTTTATTGTTGTTGTCGTTGTTGTTGTTGTGCTTTTATTGTTTAATTTAAGATATTTAAATTTGGAAATATTTTAGTGGAAATAAATAAAATTCGGTGAAGCATAAGCAGTTTGGTTAACGACAGCAGACAGCACAACAGCATTAGCAACAACAACATGAATCAAGGGATATGACGGCAGAGGGATGGGGCGGGAAGGGACAGGGAGGGGGGACGGAAACGGAAGAAAAAAAACTTCTGCCTTATTTTTTTTTTTGGCACTTTATTGTGATGTCAGATCTAAAAATAACTGTTCTTTGATGCACGATCAATTCGAACCAAGAATAATTTGGTAGCCGGAAAAGGGTTAGCAGGGAGTTTATTGAAGAATTTTTTGGAAGAACTTTTTTTCAGGTTTCAAACGAGTAGGCGCAAAATGAGAGGCACTGCTTCAGAAAATTTGCCCTTACAGTAGTGTGTGTGTGTAAAAAACGGATACCATTGTAAACGATAGTTGTAAACTGAGGATGCCTGTTGACTGAGAAATTGTCGAATGCTCAAAAATCAGTTTTGCGGCTTGCAGTCAACTAACTGTTTGACCAACAATTAGTTTACAACTGGTTGAAGCAGCTTGAACTTCATTACAATGATATCATATCTCTTCCAACTGTATTTTGCAGTTGTTGTTTTTGCTCGAAAGTTTGCTGCATCGGTTATTGTTGTCAAAAACAATTGAGCTTTTTTGTTTGACGGTAGACAAAAATTTATTCTATCTCTTAATCCATAACGTAAGAGAAAAAAAGAAGAAGAAGAAAAGAATCAAAAACTAATCCTATTTTCCATCGTGTACGGATTTGTTTGGACATATCAAAGCAAGCATCAAACATGTTTGTATGTTGGTTTTGTCTGCATTGATCATTCGAATGGTTTTTTGGTTTCTTGATTTTTGTTCTTTTTTTTTTCTCCTTCCCCTCTCCCCCACCCTCTTTCCATCACTTTTCTTGCTGTTGGTGGTAATTCTACTCACATAATTGTATGCCTATTACCAATAGATTTATTTGGCTATGCATATGGATTTATATGAGAATTTGCAATTTACTTTACACGAAAAATAGAATTAGCATACCAGGAAGAAAGGAGGGAAAGGTGGACGGTGATGACGTGTGGAAGAAATAAATTGAGCAAATAAGTAACAGAAAAAGAGTAAAATTGGATGAAACCTGAACTTTTCTTCATCCACATAACCATCATCAGCGTTATTGCTGTCAGTGACAAGAACGCCGACGACAACAATTATTTGAATGACACAAGGAAAAAAAAACGGCGATATATAGGCAGGCATTAATTTTGGCATAGATAATTGGCAAAAGAAAAGGAAGAAAAAAAAAGCAGATAACGAAACACAAATCTGTTATGTATGATTAATCTGTAAAAAAATTGCAGTAGAAAATTGCTGTTTATGAAAAAATAAATATTTTTTCTTGTCATTTTCTTCATTCTCTTTTCCAATGTTTTTTTTTTTCTACTACTCATAAGTACAGTTACGTTGTCATTTTTTACTTACTGGGAAAAAGCGAAACAACGGGAAAGGGGAGATGGAATAAGAAGTACGGGGAATGAGCAAAAAAGAATGTAGAAAGAAAGAAAAAAAAAATCACCTATGTTTATAGTGTGGTTATAAAATTGTCAACGTAAATGTTGCGCAGTAGCATTCAGTCGTTTTTTTTTTCCCCTTTTGCTTCTGCTTTTAATCTTTTATCTTTTTTTTTTTTTGCTTACAATTTAAATAAGTTAAAAGCAAAGCACTTTGTTCATTCTTTGGGCTAACGGAAATATTTAATTTTTTTTTTGACATATTTTTCAGGTTTTTTTCCTGCTTCTTTTTTTACGCATCGGTTAACTGCATAAGGTTGAAAAAAAAAAGTATATTCACT